CCTGCTTAAGTAAATCTTACGAATCACTTTATATCTCGAATTCATCAGTTGTAGTAGTTGAGCTTCATGGAACTTTTTAGTTACAAAAAATGAGGTTCCTTAAAAATTCTGGATAAAATACGTTTTCTTTTTAAAAGCAGTCAAAATGTTCGTGTAGGGAAGACATAATGAATCGCATGTCACCATATCCTTTTTATTTCTCAACGCAGCAAAATCTTGTCAAGGGATTTTTTGCCACCGTAGAAAACATTGTAAAATTTGCTTCATTGCATGCTTGGAAACCTACACTTTTTCCTCCTAAAATACCGAAATCACAGATGATTACATCGCCTACCAATTCTTAAAGTCAGTGTAAGTAGTGCATAAGAATGCTTGTTAGCCTGGTAGAATAATCTGTATTCTACATTCTTGTCTGTCAGAAGAGACTGGTTATTGCCTTGTGTTGGATTCGCCGATAGTCTTTCGGCTATCGATTCCGCTTGCCATGTTCTGTTCATCGCTGTCTATAGAACATAATCTTTGTGCCGCTGTCGTTCAAACGACAAATAGCTGTAAGGAGAGATAGGATGAACAATACGTAGTCTTGTGCTTGACATCTTCTTTCTTTAAGTCATGATTTTCTGCAACCTTACTCATTTCTTCTAGAAGCACAGAAAGGCATTAAAAATTTAATCTCTAATTTACCTGCCCCACCCTCCTAAAAAAACAGTGAACTAAACTATGTCTTCATTCTGAATCGTTGATATATACAGAACATGGTTCTACCTTTTGAGCAAAAACTGTTTTTCCTCAGATTATGACTCAAGTTATTGTCAGAACTTAGCTTCCACGCAGTTAACTGTTGCTTCGAAGTTGTTTGAGGAAATTTTGAAGGAAGTCGTTTGGTTCCTTGCCGCAATCATAATCTCGTCGCCTGTTGCTCGCATGGTTTGTGCATTGGTCCTCCTTTTCTTTTCTACACAAGCTGTGCAACTCAAGATCTTTTCTGTTATCCATCTGGTCGTGGATTTTTACTTCGTTTCTTAAATCGTATCTTATGTTTATTAATCAAATATATTTACTGCTCCGAAAGAGCCACCTGTTTTGTTGGTGGCGTTTTTGACACCCACTTAGCATTTGCGCCGGTAGTGTAATGCGAGACTTCATATGAGATAATCTATAGACAGTTCGTCGCGTAGCATTGAGTGCAAGAGCCAAATCCGCTTATCATACACACGCCTATTCTCCTGTATATTCGTGGGATAGCTAATACTAGCTCCTCCTTCATGCCTTCTGAACTAGTATGGGCGCTCTAGTAAGTTTTGCTTTGAGTGTGAATTGTGAGTTTCAACAGTCTAAAGTATAATTGTAGACTTTTATGGAATATTTCCTCTCCATTCTTACACATTCGTTTTCGCA